AACACAACTCTTCTGCAGCTGTGCTATAAACTGAACAGGGAAACTGATTTGGCTACAAACACTGGAGGCAGGGGGAGGTGCTGGGTTTCTTTATGCTGGATCAGTTCCCCCATCTGGCTGGATGCACAACCCCAGTGGGTTGTACAGGATCAGAGCAGAAAAGGGGACTGTGGGATATGGCCATCCATAATCCAGCATTGCTACCAAGTACTTTAAAACACTACATCAAAACCTGATGCTGGGACATCTGCACATTACCTCTATCCAAATAATAAATACCCGTAACAAAAATGTAACTAATAAAAAATAGCATTCGTAATCCCCTAAGAAGACATTCATCATTCATAAGGGATTGTAGAAAATTAAATCAAATATTAATAGTTTAAAGTAGAAACAAGATGTTGCAGTTGGTTCATTCTGGAGTATAGGTCAAGTTGGGCCCAGATTTTCCATGTCGTTTTTGAGAGCCCACAGCACAGCACAGCACACAGTCAGTAGCACAGAACACAGTCAGTAGCTATCCAAACCAAAGCCCATGCTTTGTAGAAAAAAAATAACAATAATTGTTAGTGGTTCAGGCAACCTCACAGTAACAGATGAGCAGAATGTGAAAGGCAAATGAAAGACTAGGGCAAAGGAAGAGCATTCAGTTATGATTTTAAGAGGTGCTTTCAACTTAGTAATAAGCTAAAATAAGTAGGTTTTTGTCCCCTTTAATTTTGAAAAACCTAACATAGGGCTTAAAAAACATTTTTATGATGATAATTTCATTGTTTGGGTTGTGATTGCTTTTTAACCCTACTAGTCATGAAAATATCTGCCTTTTTTTCCCCCACTGACTCACTCTCGGTTATAGAAAATTACTGGTGCTCTTGTAATTCCTGCACCCTGTTGGAGAGCTAGTTCAGCAACATTTTGTACTCAAATAAAGCAAGTAAGCCTTACTTCGTGCTGTGATGTATTCCTTACACTGACAAAATAAAAGGAGAAATCCTAGCCCCACCAAAGCGAACAGAAACAAATCACACCTTAAATTCAGTAGCGTTGAGGTTTGACCTCAGCTTTTCTTTTCCAGAGTCAGGAGCGCCAGACTGAGTCCATCTGGAGTGTCTCCTTTGGCATTCAGCTTGACTTGTGACGTGAAACGTTCAGCAGAGAGACTTGTGAACATGCACTTGTGGTTCTGAAGTCTGAAATAAAGTGATGAATATATACTTAACTGATCATCAAATAACATGCCCTTGTTGCAACTTTAAATGCAGTTCTGCAAAGGAGCTTCAGGAATGACACTAAATTAGATGACAACCTGTGCTCCTAATTAATCTCTAGTTACAGTTAACAAGAAAAACAGTTCCATCTTCTGAACGTGCAGGCTCACACTGACATATGAGGAGCAAACAGCTTAATTTCATTAGCACACATTGCCATATATAATAGAGCTATAACAGGCCAAATGCTCTATTTTACGCTCCTGAAACTCAGTCTCCCTCCGGTGATGCTGTTGTGACACTTTCAGGATGCCAAGAAGGGAAATGGATCTGGCAGTTGTCACTGGTTGGAAGTACAAACAATTTTTCCCTTAACCACCTCGGCTTTGCAGAGTTACCAGAAGGATAAAAGCATAAAAGCTACTGCAGTCATTAAAGAGATGTGACTCACAGAACAGGAATCGCTGTGTTGCGTTAGGAGATGTCAGTTGACAGAGTCACTAAACTGACGGCCAGAAGCTGGGAAGTTAGAAACTAGCTCTATTTTTTAAACATTTTTTCCCCTAGTTTTCTGCTAATGGCTTTTGGCAGAAGGAAGTTGCTCAGGAGATGGCTTTTGAGACCGAGTGTAGTGGTGTTGTGGGCTTGGAACAGATGCATGCTTTTACTACCAAATAGGCCACTATCAATTAGATCATCAGATGATAATAAGAATAATAATAATAATTAAATGCTGTGGTGTTGGAATTGCTGTCTGTGGCGATCACTTAACATCACACATACTTTAACTGTAGCTCTTGAAAAGATGAATAGAAGTTACAGGGCACAGATACTGAAGTTAAAATTAAAAGGCAGCAGGAGTCTTAAAATTACACAAACATCACTGAAGTAAATTCAATTTTAACAAATAAAACGAAATGATTCATTCAAGTATGGGAAGGGGTAAGAAACTTCCTTCAGCAAATTGCTAAGTATAAGGCATCAAAAAAATAAGTAGCTAGAGAATACTTTAAGAAAAAAGAACCAAGATTTGATTCTCAGGTGATAAAGATGTATAGCTGAGATCTCAAAAAGCTCCTTAGCCTGAGCCTGCTTACATGTATTGCTAAACCAAAGCCAAGTCTGAGAAATCACAAACATATGACAATTTTCCTTCCTGCTGCTAGAAACTCTGCCTAATCTCCCAGCAAGTGGTCCCATTTGGCTCGTGCTCAAAGCCTGAAAGAGATCCCAGTTTCCTATAGCTTAATATAATTTGTATGTCAGTTCAGTGAACAGAGGCATTACAAGACAGCTCCTGGCATGCTTTACACCTTTACAAGAGTGCACGCATTTTATGCAAACCAAGCAACAAGGCAAAGAGCATGTGCTATTCCTGTGCTTTTTACCAGGCTGCTTTATCACCCGTCACAATGCTGAAAGTGAATGTTCATGTTATACAGTGGTCTTCGTTTGTGTAAGAGCACACAGATCCAAGTGCCAAGCAGTATGCACAGATCCTTTACATTACACATGAGAAAGGGGCTCCATTAATTTCAACCAACACTAGATCATGCCACAAGAGGTGAAGGTGTAGGCAATAAGCCATTACATTTACTTCAGTTTCTCCTATAGTTACTTTATGCTTTTTTAAACTTGCCTTAATTAAATTCATTCTAGAACATAAAAATTGCTCAGTTTCCACTGGTCTGGAAATGGCTCTTTTTAGGCCAGGAAGACTCCTGCCTTGAGGCACTTAACTAGAGCTAGGACAGGAATCAGTGCTTATAGCTTATATGGAGTATTTTATTATCGTGCTCAGTGAGTTTACGCAATGAGATTCATACCAAGCTTCCACTGTGCCAGTATTTGTTTTTTCAAACAAAAAAGGTTTGTAAATAACAGTGCCAGAGTATTATCCAGCAAAGCAGTGTTCTGCTTTAAAGATAAGACCAACAGATGCTACTGTTGGTAGCATTTAGGAGTCTAACTGCAAGGTACTGAGCAGTGCTGCTCTTCACAGTACTCAATGAGATTTCATTTATGAAAGTAAGTGCAACTATTTGCAATCAGCATGTCTACCTTATGTTCAGACACTGAATCCTCTTTGCAGAAAGCAGAGCTCACACTGAAATCCAACCAGGAGTCATATACAGGTAACAGTTTCATGTGGTGCTTGTGACAGTGGTTGGAGAGCGTATAAGAGGCTCATCGAGTATCCAGAGCAAACAGCAGCAGGTTTTAAAGGGATCTTGTGAAGAAAGAGCAAAGACCTGGGAATCAGGAGACATGGTTTCTCTTCCATGGGCTGCAGTAAAATCACTGTGTAAGCCACAGGAAGCCATCATCTCTGTAGCCAAAATTAAGCTGGTCAGGCTGAAATAAGTGTTGGGTTTCATGTCTCTAATTCAGTGAAGTCCTAATCTGTGATAAGAGCCCCATGAAACTGTTTTAGGAATGAACCTAATAATACGTTATTAGATATATAGTCTAATATGTATTTTGTATTATATAATTAAAAAATAATAATGAATCTAATAATAGCTCTGGCTGCCCCATCCCTGGCAGTGCTCAAGGCCGGGTTGGATGAGGCTTGGAGCAAGATGAGTGGCAGGTGCCCCTGCCTATGATCTTTAAAGTCTCTTTCAACCCCAACCATTCTGTGCTTCTGTGAATTAACGAGACAAAGAATCATTGAAAAATCAGGCAGGGGTTTAGTTGTACTTGGTATATAGGAGACCTGTTGTTTTTCTAATTCTAACCTATGTTTGTACTTTCTTCTTTATCATGTTGACATTTGCAAGCAATAAAAGGGCATTATGTGCTGGTCACTGCATCTGCTTTAGAGATAAATCTATGTTAACATTCCAAAGGGTCAAGGAGTTCTTCCAGGGCAAACAAATTCTGGAGCACTGATGCCAGATGGTGTGTATATAAAGTGAAAATGAGAAAAACAATTTATTGTGTTCCTGTTCCACAGAGAAGTATCGCCCAGAAGGACAGCAAAAGAGGTGAGAAACTACTGAGAAACTGGAGAGACAGTTTTATTCTTCTGTAGTATGTTGGGGTTTTTGTATCTGAAAAGTCTGGTTACATAGAGGAACCGCAGTCCTTACTCAGGCAATATTAGTTCAAAAAGGTAACAGGAGTTTTTAACTAAGGGATGAAGGGTTGAATTACTAACATGTATAAATAATTATGCATTGATTTATGTAAGAGGTCCTAGCTTTATCTATATGTCTCACTAATACATAGTCTGTGTTTAGAGAAATGTTTGTTGCACAGTCAAAACCATTTTATCTTGAATTTTTGACCAAACTCCACAAAAGAAGCAGAAAATAATGGATCAGATTTTTAAGTATAAATGAGCATAGCCTCAACAAAGGCAAGTTATCAATGTCATTTATCCAGCTCAGGTGCTGACCACTCACTTGCAGCTGTATTCAATGTGTCATTTCCAAGTGTGCAAAGCAACTCTGCAAGTTTTAGAACTAATCAACCTTTTGTTCAGATCTAGTGAAACAGGAATGTCTTTTGGAAGGGTTCAAAGATAAATTCAGGTCAGTGTAGAAAATATAAAATCATTTTCTTGAAATACCGAAAAGTATAACATGATTTCATAAATAGCCTGAACTGCCTTTTGTCATTTGCTACCAAACCTCAAAACTGTGCAGCAGAAGTGTAAGTGTTGAGAAGTACACAAAGAGAAAGGGAGAATGTATGGCTTAATATTTATGTGTGAATCTTTGATGAGCATATTTTATTTGGTTATATATGTCTTTCTTTTTAATGTTATGGCTTCTAGAAATAAAGGATATAAAAGTTCTCTTCATACAGGAAAAAGAGCTGAACAACAATGCTGAGGTTTGCTGTCACCCTCTTTGCTGTCATAATGTCATCCACCTGCCGAAAGTTTGGATGTCTGGAAGGGAGCACCCACAAACTGAAGCCAAGTCCTGAGCCAAATATGCGTGAATGCACTCTGTACTCTAAATGTAAGAGTAGTTTAATTTTTGCCAAATATAGTCTAGAACTACAGCTTTGTACACACTGACTGCTTTAGCAGTTCCCTTAATTTCTCAAAAATACGCAAGATGCAGTATAAGCAAGACAAGCTTCCTTCACTGGCATATTGCTTCGTGCAAACCAAGAGTAAGATACTGGTTCTTCACAAAGTCAACTGCAAAACTCTCATTGCCCTCATTTATCTTCTTTTAAAAGAAAATCAAGTTATGGGCCAAAACAGATTCATCTCACATACTGTGACTTACAAATACAGTATTAGAGAAAATCCTTATCGCAACGTCTCTGTTTCATTCGTAACAGCTTCCTGTTGCTATGCAGACTTCACAGTGCAATTGGCTCGTTCCCCGGTAATTAAAGTAAGCAACAGCTACTGGAACAGATGTGGGCAGCTCAGTAAACCGTAAGTCAGCTTTGATGTTGTCTGTATCCTGGTTCAATAGATCTATGCTGTGGCAGCCACACAGCTAATGGTAACTCCCCCTGGGATGGACAATCCCCAGGTTGTCCTAGCAATTACACCACCCAGCTCCTGTCATTTTTTCTCTACACCTGACCAATGGCTGACTCTTCCTCTTCTCTCACAAAACCCCATGAATCCCTATGTGTATACTATTTGTGCAGAAAGGTTATGCTTTTTCATGTTTGCTTTCAGTATAGAATCAGATCTAGCAATGCAAAGCAGTCATAAACTGAGTAAGTAACAACCACACCACACCTCTGTAGCTCTCCAAAGCAACCATCACATCCAAATGAGTGTCAGCCCTAGTCAACATAGACCAGGCTTCTTCCTTTGCTTAGAAAGCAGATCAACTATGTTATTAAATGTCACAAACTAGGGGCACAAGAGTCCGGAAATGAAACTTCTGAATATTTAGAAATAAAAATTCTTGTAGTCCTGTGGGTTTCATAACCATGAAGAATGTCTTCATAATTAAGATTTTAAGTACTCTGTTAGATGTTAGAGCTGTGAAACATGGCAAGTTAGAGAAATAAAAGAATGAAAGTACAAAACAATTAAGCAAAAACAGATGTGCAAAAGTAACAGCTCTTGTCTGCCGCTCCCAGAAGAGCACAACAGTATGTGCTTTTAAGTAACTTCAGCTGGGCTGTGGGAAAAATCTAAAGATCAATGAAACCATGAGGCTACAAAATCGAAGAGGTTTTGTACTATAGTTTTAAACTACATTTTATCGTTGCCTGGAATTGTTCTTGCCAGGAAAACTCAAGGCCTCAAAAGTTTACAGAAAGCTTACACAAATAGGGCTGAAATATGCATGGAAACATTTGTTCACTCTTTAGCTGGCCATGGTAATTGCACAGTCAGAGTCTGTACACAATGCCAAAGGAATGAGTTTGGAACATAGACACTTAACAGGCTGCAAGGATGCTTTTCTATGTGTATTACACCCACATCAAAGCAGGCCTAGAAAACTGAGGCTCTAGCCTTGATGCTAAGAAATGGGCTTATTTGTGGCTTTTCTCACCCACCACAGCTGTGAAGATTTCATGAAGAAAATTGAGTGTTTTTACCGGTGTTCTCCATATGCTGCTCGCTGGATCCATCCCAGCTACACTGCTGCTATTCGGTCTGTTCCACTGTGTCAAAACTTTTGTGATGACTGGTAGGTTCAGCTTTTTATCAAAGTATTTTTGTTTATCTTTAATACTTCTGTGTTACTTGGATGTCACAGAGCATGGGTGGATGAAGCACAGATCTCCCAGTCAGTTGGCACTAAGATTTGATGGTGTGGCACCACCTTTATACCTTTTCTCCTTCCTCTTCATTTCTTGTTTGTCATCTCTATTTTTTTCCTCAGTTAAGCTACTACCCCCAAAATAGTAATGGCACAGGCTGAAGGCAGGATGGAGTCACTGGTGACCCAAGGTCAGCACTGCCAGGCTGTCCATGAGGATGCAGTGCAGTGGCATCTGAAATGCCTGACATGATGGAGAAGCTCCCCACCATGTCAACAGGAACTAACAGCAGTCAGGGTCCTGCCCACCCTTTGAAAAGGCAATGCCTACAAGTTAACATTTGTGCAGTTAGCATTTGAAATCTAAATACTTGATCATGATATGATAGTTATTTGTATAAAATGCACTATGCAATTATGAAAGCAGACACTTCCTGTATGTTTTCAATTAATTCATATAACAAATTAGCTTAATTCCTTAATTTTGCACCTTTGGCCTTTTCTATTCCCTTCCATCATCCTTCTCTAAAATCACTTCTAAAAGCCTGAATCTCAGAGAAACTTGCAGCCAAGTAATGCTAAAAATTTTAATAGCAATGAACAAACATTTAATTACCATTTGTTTTCCCAAAATATAGCATAAGGGAATCACATTAGTTTTTGAGTGCAACACATGTAGTGGAACAACCCAGCACCTGTCTGTCCTTAGTCTTGGGGTGGGAGCATTATATCCAGGTGGGGTACTGGGAGTTTTTCAGTGGCCCATATCCAGCATATATCTCTCCCTCCCTATTTTGATATGATGGATTAAATAATGTCATCATGTGACATACAAATCTCAGTCAGTACCATATTAAGTAACTGCAGTAACTGGACCTACAGATAGTATGGTTAAAGTGGTGCGAAGCATCCTACAAACAGCACAGGCTGTGTTCACAGTATAGGATCGTAACTGCTACATCCCTTGAAAGTAGTGAACTGTGAATCTCTTAGGCTGCTCTGAAAATCATGGAACACTGTTTTAATACTTCAAAAATGTTATGAAAGAGCTTTTCTTGGAAGCATAGAAAATACACACAGTAGCACACTGCTCTGTAAAGTGCTTTCCCTGGTGGTTACACAACTTGGTTATTGACACATGGATCCATTTTCACTCTCACCTTCTCTCCAAGGGCAAAGTCATGTGTGCAGTGCAGTATTGTGGTAGGATTTGTCTACAGTATGTCTCCATTGCTTTGTGCCAGAGAGAGAAACAAAAAACATGGTTGGGATTTGTAATGGAAAATAGTGAGAAAGGCTGATGTATTTCTTAGCTTCCCTAGAATTTCCTCTAGTGATTACTTTTATTTCTGTGCTAGGAAGCTCCATGTACCTCAGGAACAGATTTGTCACATGCAGTCTTCCTTCCTAAATTTTTGATAATCTTCTAAACTGAATCCAGATTATCACCTCCTTGAAGATAAAGGCTGAGACCTTGAATTTGCCTCAGTGATCAGAATGTCAAAGCTCAGAACCAAGTATTTCCAAAATTCAAAAGCATTTGGATATTAAAGCATTGGAGTTGGCAGTGAGCTTTAGAATAGATCTGACAGGCAAAGGAGTGAAGTACCAATATCTAAACCAAATGTATCCCACAGTAAGTAGCATACAAGTCATCACTCAAACTGCTATATGCAGTGAAAGTATAAAGATGAAAGAAAATGTACCCTATAAGTTTAGTTTGCATCTATGAACTGGTTTAAGCCAGCCTTAGTGTATATGAGATTCATACTGAAGCACATAGTGTGGGCCATATGACATGGCAAAGCCCTCAGTGTCCCCCAGCTATTGCCAGAACCTCCAGGTAAATGGCATTTTAAACTCCATTGTTGGAAAGTGTGGGGCTATGATTGACAGCTGCTGCACAGGAAAAAAAATTATCATTTTCCTGTACAGAGCCTCCTAACAGAGAGCAGGCTCTACTCTAAACATACGCTGAACAATGATCTATTGCCCCTGTTGGCATCATAGATGCCTGGCCTGAATCAAAAATGTAATGATGAGCCAGTACCATGCACGCTAGTCTGTGTGCCTGCCTAATGCCAATGTCAAACCCATTCCCTCACCCTGCTTAAGGCCTGGGGCCAGAAAAGAGGCTGGACAGAATTCCCACTCTTTCTGGTGATTGAAAGTAGCATTTTTTCATGTTCTATTCACTGGAGTCCCTTTAGCGTGTGTAGCACTGCTGGTGATGTGACCTACTTTCTCTACATGCCGTGAGTGTGCCTGCTGCATACTGTATGTCTTTGTGGCCAGAAATGTGCTGAGGATTCTGAATGAGCAGTGACTTCATTTAAAAGAAATTCATCTGACTTGCTTGGGGCCTTCCTTTTCTTCCCATTGTCTTAGGATTTCTTGCTCCCACTAGTTGTAAAACTATTGCCTTTCAAAGAGCCCCACGTACAAGCCATTTTCTGATCCATCTGTGAGAGGGTCTTGTGCCCTTAAAAGAGAAACAGCTAAAAAAGCAGGGGGAGAAGCTTTAAAATAAAAACATCCTGCTCATTGTGCATAGGAAACTGGTGTGTTCAGGGAGGATCTTGCTGGTATTTGTGTTTCTGTTTCTCACAGGTTTTAATTAATATTTGAAGAAACCACTTACGGGCAACAGAAAACAGACTTTTCATAAGTCATGACTTTTTATAAATTTAGCTTCAGAATTACTTCCATTGGGATAAAGAAAAACTCAGAGCAATAGTTATGCCTTGGTCCTGATATATAACAAACCCCAGAGTCAGGCAATAATTGTAATTAGGAAACATTTCATCTGACAACTCAATAGATAACAGTGAAAAAATATAAATCCTTTAATGTATTTAATTCAAATTCCTGAGGAAACCAGATGCATAACATGAATGACCCAGGTCAACAAAACTCTGAAATACTTATTCATTATTTGAAAAGTATAACTGAAGGAAACACAAATTTCACAAGAAGCAGTTCCACCTTCTCCTCAGCCCCAAGGGCTGCTCATTCCCTCCCTTGCCCTGTCCCCACCCATGTGCCAGCAGCACTGTCGGAGAGGCCATGAAGCAACCTGGGTCTGGGAACTCATCAGGCTAAAAAACACTTAGGCAAATAAAAAAGGAAACCAGAAAAAGAAGACTCTGGGAAGGGCACAGCTGCTTTCAGTGGAAGTGCTGGTATTAGGCAGCTCACAGTAGATACTGATCGACTGTGCTAGAAAGCAATGAATATAAATGCATGCATAAAGTGAAGGACGTGCCTACGTGGCTTGAAGAATCAATTGTTGAATCTGACACTGGTATGTGGAGTCTGTAGATGGTGAATATCAAAGAGTTTGCATTGATGCTCCTACCTGGTGTGCCTTCAAGCAGGCAAAGTGTCTAGTGTTAGAGAAACACTGGCGATTTACCTCTGTTGTCTTTCTCAGTCAGGGTACATGCAGCAGCTAACAAACAACAAACCAGTTATTCTTACATTCCCTCGTCCCAAATCCAGTCATGGCACGAACTGGGAAGATTTACCTGGTAGCGCCACATTACATTAATTTATCACATTGCAGCCTGTATTTCCAGCAGAGCCCCCACCTCTGACAGCAGATTCATGGATGAACACATTTGTAAATACAGGTCTCCTGCCCTACACCTGTTTAGTTCAGGCCCTGGTTACCCTCCATCTGTTGCTGTTCTTTCTCCCTCCAAAAAGCAAAAAAACCCCTATGTGAAGGTTCTGTGGATGTGCACCTGCATATGCACGTGTACTGCAATGTGTTCTTGTAGTTCTGTGCCCACAAGACAGCCTCATATTTCATTTAAAAATGTAAGTCTGCAGCCTTCATGATATCAAACTAGTTTTGGAAACATGACCCCGAAGATGAAAAATGACAAACAGAAAATCTATCCAAAGGCACATTAATTATAAATACCATGCTGAGCAACACTAACTTTTTGAGAGCTGTGCCTCATGATTTTGGCACTCTCAGTTACTAGTGGGAATAGTCTGCCTGAAGCTATTGAGACTAAATGTAAGTAGATGTTAACTGATTTGCAGAAAGTGATACTAAAGAAAGGTAAGAGACAAAAAGTGGAACATAAAAAGAAGTGGAAGGAAGGAAATGATGTAGGATAATGGTAAGCTATGAGATCTCTCATCACACAAACCAAGCAGTTGCAAACTGTATTCGTCCCTGTTTATAGGCTTTTTTTTACATTACTGCTTATAAGTTAAAAACAAATTTAATATTTTGGACCTGTAACCTGCAAGACTCTTCTCTTTCCTCATTCACTTCAAGTTTACCTGCTTTGAAACTGCCATTCTGAGGCTGACAGCCTATTAGTTTTTATGATTTTGTTGTTCGTATATTTTCCTTATTTCAGTGCATGTTTCTTATAGAACCCCCTGCCTAGGAAATATAATTATTCTTTTCCCAAATTAATTCATAAATACAAACTTCCCACACACCTCCCCCAAGTGACAGTTCACTCTTAGCATACCTGTGCTCTGCCACAATATTGAACATCAGCATTCCTAAAACTCCCTCCCCACACAGTTATTTCCCCACTCAGTAACATCAGCAAACAAAACCATCAGAAAACACTGCATGAAGGAGCGTTGCTCCTCAGAACATGAGCCCTTTACTTAAGTCTGTGAGTACAAAATGTAGTGGCTGAACTGTTTAGTTTGCATTGGGATTTAGGTCTTCCCGGTCAGCTCAGAGTTTATGTACATGTCAAGCTAAGATAATGTGCACATCTTTTGAAGATCTGTTGCTAAGCTGCACTGTGCAACCATACAATGTTACTGGCATAGCTCACATAGGCTTTTAGAGTTGAATCTGAGTCCACTGAAAAAAAGAAGTAAGAGAAATTAACTGTAACTTCCACTAATCTCCATGAAGGTATGAAGCCTGCAAAGATGATTCCACATGTGTTCGTAACTGGCTGACAGACTGGGAATGGGATCGAAGTGGAGAAAACCACTGTAACAATAAATGTATTCCATACAGTGAGGTAAGAAAACCTGATCAACTGAAGCAGAAAAGAATGGTATTGAGGGGTCTTTCTTTTTTCCTGAGTATATGGGTATAAAATGCAACAAGTGAATTATTTTTACTTCAGCAGTTTCAAGCCATACCTACATCAGACTTCTTAAGTATAGAAATAGTTAAGCATTTATACTTATGTAGATCTCTTACTCTAAGGATATATGTATTTAATTAACCATTGTCCATACCACTTGTGAAACAAAACTGAAAGTTCAAGCAGCACAGATATGTTTAACCACAGTCAGGCTTAGAAAGTAAAAGACAAATTAACTTTGTTCATACAACAGAGACTCTGGGAGGTATTTTATAACGTTCCTTATATAATGTGGGGTTTTACCTCTGTATTTTTAAATTGGGATGTAAGTTCCCAAATTACTAAGCCATTTTTATGGTCTTCTTGCGTATTAGGCATCTTTGCCTTTTTCTCTATTTTACTTTGGTATGTTCAAATCCTTCTCCATCCTCAAAATTCCTCATTTCTTCTAATTGTCTCCCTTCTGTTCTCCATAGACCTCTTGTATCTCCAATGTGTGATATCCATTGTCTCTGCCAATGGCCTGACAGAGCTAGCTTTGCTCTATGTAACTCTGATGGTTAAAGACCACCACTAATAAGCTTTCTGAGAGCTCATCCAGTCTTTCTGAGAATGTTTAATGGTTGGGATAACTGATTTTATGGGCAAAAGTGTATAAAATGAGAACTGATAAGACTTATAGGAACAAAGCTGATCTACAGACATTTAAAGAGTCAGATAGGATTTTTTCTAGTGACTCAAGCAAGTTTAGCATCAGGATGAAAAAATACAACTTAAAACTGCTACACTTACTTGAGCATTTTTAATATCTGAACTTCACTGAGCCCATGAAAACTGTCCAAATTGAAGAATTAAATGAAATCTAAGTGTAGTGATTAGGGACTGGCAGTAAGACTTGCAGAGATTCCAGATTCATTGTTTTGAGTTCAAGTGCATATACTTCCAGAAGTCAGTTCAGCAACTGATACAAGTGGAAGTCACAGTCCAGTTAGCGCTGTCTGCCTTGCAAAATTGACACAGATCAGCAGGCTCAGGAAGGTGGCCAAAAACCAAATGGGCTGCGTAAACTTACAGCTGAGTCTCCCAGATGTGCTAAATCATCAGTGGTTCCAGATGAAGTGAAAACCAAAATGATAATCTCCGTAAATAATCTCCAGTCCCTGCTCAAGGTCCAGAGATAGGAATTTTTAACCTTAAATTCCCTTCTACATATTTCTTAAGAAAAATATACCATCTGCAGGGAAAACAGTCAGCAAATCCAGACATCTTATCACTTGACGCCAGGCGCAGCTACTTCTCAACTAAGTGGAACCACACCCCAAACTGCCCATGTTTTTCACCCAAAATAGGCTTGCGTGGGAAGTCAGAATAAAGATGAAGTTTCTTCAAAGCAATTAAAAAAACACATTTCCCATCTGAATGTTACGTGACAGACAAACACTAGACTTAGAATCATAGAATACTCAGGGTTGGAAAGGACCTCAAGGTAATCTAGTTCCAAACCCCCTGCCATGGGCTTGGATTCCTCAAAGTAGTCAATGTTGCCCAAGGCTCTGTCCAGCCTGGCCTGGAACACTGCTGGGGATGGAGCATTTACCACTTCTCTGGGCAACCCATTCCAGTGCCTCACCACCCTTACAGTAAAGGACTTCTTCCTTGTATCTAACCTGAACTTCCCCTGTTTAAGTTTAAACCCATTCCCCCTTGTCCTGTTGCTACAGACCCTGATGAAGGGTCATCCCCAGCGTCCTTGTAGGCCTCCTTCAGACACTGGAAGGCTGCTATGAGGTCTCCACGCAGCCTTCTCTTCTCCAGGCTGAACAGCCCCAACTTTCTCAGCCTGTCTTCATACGGGAGGTGCTCCAGCCCCCTGATCATCCTCGTGGCCCTCCTCTGGACTTGCTCCAACAGCTCCATGTCCTTCTTATGTTGAGGACACCAGAACTGCACACAGTGCTCCAAGTGGGATCTCATAAGAGCAGAATAGAGCGGCAGGATCACCTCTTTGCTTGGTTTGGACTCAACTTAGGGAGCAGAAAGTTGCAGTTACCCAGAAGCACAATGGGTTCTCCAGTGTCAGAGCACTGTGGCCAGATGCTCATTGTCTTTTGATGTCTTCAGATCATACAGCGAAGCAGTCAGCAGCCCTACATTTGACATCTGCAAGTGGTTGTAAGGACTATTTGGAACAAATGCTGAATATGGAACAAATGCTGAATATTAAAAATGCACAATGGATCATAGCCAGCACTTTCAGCCTGGCTAAAATGAGGCCCCTTTTGTCATTGTTCTCCCAGCTGAGTGCTCCCTAGGCAGTGTTAATGCACAGACTAGAAGATTTTCCAAGAAGGTGAAGACTCAGAATCCTTTGCAGTAATTTAAGGACACTTTGGATAAATGGGCTGCATGCACTGCTTGTTTGCTGCAGGTTTCTGGCCAGGCTCTGATCTTTAAGCAGAGTTAGGAAGAAGGTCAAAATAAAATCACCCATTTAGCAAGTACAAAAGCATAAATACATGTTACAGAACCTGTGGGACACAAGAATAGAATGCAGCCATGTCTCTTGCATACAGACCAAAGAAAACCCACATAACAGCTCTTAATACTTTCTGTAATGATTAGCAGGTAGAAATCCAGGAATTGCACAGGAAGAAAATGTCTAATGCTGCTTAAAAGAAATAGTGGGAAAGAAACAGCTACACTCTGCCTGCCCTGAGAACACGAGGAGAGAACTAGATAAAGAAACCTTTCCATTCCTGGCCCTGTGTTGTTCACAGTGCACAGGCCAACCTCCACACTCCTCCTCCAGCAACTGAAGCGATGGAGCGAGCCCTGGCTCAAGATGATGTTAAATGAAAAGCTGTTTTACAGACTACAGTGTCTTTGGGGCTATCTAGAATGGACTCTGTATTATTCACAAAGGAGAGATTTCTAAGGCAAAAGTGATTATTATGATTTCTCATCTGCCTTCCTGCACAGTAATAGGTCAACACAGTTTTGCATTTGGGGAGACAGGAAGACATCTCATAAGAACTTGCTGTAGAAAATAGGTAGAGCAGAAGAAGCTGTATGACTACAGATGCCCAGGCCCACTTCCACGTAATAGACCTACATCTGTAATCATTAACTTTTTGCACACAGAGCAGCTTCCATGCAGAAATGTCCCAACCACAAAGAGAGGGCACCTTCTCCAAGATTCATGGTGTCAGATATGTATGTGAACTGGCAATGACAGTAAACCAGCACACCATCCAGAAATCACAGCACTAAGAGAAACAGTGTAGGATTAAAGAAGCTGTGGTTTACAGTTTCTTGAGCCAGAAAGGCCATTGTACCACTAGACACAGCACTTTGGAAGCTTGAAGAGAACATATTTTCTTCAAGCAGTTTCTAAGTTACATTCTTTGTGAGGTCCTGCTTGGTCACGATGTACATTGCAGCAGGCACAGTGAGATCCCATGGAGCTGTGACTCCACTGGGTTGTCTGTAGGCTGTAGAAATAAAGATTCCCATAAAGCACAGTCTGGCACTTTCAGCACTACTCAGTTCCAGAGGCATGTCAGACTGACCTGACATGCTGCAAGTTGTAGAACCTCTCAACACAGCTTCGGCCTGTCAGCCCCAGAAAGCCAGCTGGGCTGTCAGCCCCAGGGGGAAACAAAGGGCTGGCTCTTGATCACGTTGCACTTTGTGTGATCACTTGCTTTCACAACAGGCAAATCTCTTTTGCCAGCTGTGGGACTGGATAACATTTTAAGATATCTGAGAAGTGATAAAGCACAGCACACAGCAGGACAGGGAATGACTGCCAGTTGCTTTTTTATAATCCAGTACCAGTTCTTTAAAAGTTATATGTTTCTCATTTTGATACACTGGTTTTAACTTATTTTTTTTCAAATGTAATTGATACATTTCTTATTTGACACACAGATGTACACAAATGGGACTGACATGTGCCAGAGTATGTGGGGGAAGTCATTCAAGGTGAGCAAGTCCTCTTGCCTCTGCTTGCAAATGAACAAGAAGGACATGGTGGCAATCAAGTATCTCCTCTCCAAGAGCTCAGAGGAAAGCTCCAGCAGCAGCAGCTCCAGCAGCAGCAGCAGCAGCAGCAGCAGCAGTGAGGAGCGTGCCTGCCAAAAGAAGCTCCTGAAGTTTGAGAAACTAAAGGGAGAGGAAAAGGAACATACAAGATAAATGCTGGTGGATGTATGTCAGGACAAGAGAAATCACCATGGAGGCTGGGCTCAGGGCACTACGCCAGCCTGCTTTATCCCTTATTTCCTAGAACATAATAAATCAATGGCTGGTTATATTAATCTTCCTCTGATGTTTTTGCATCTGCATCACAAAGCTCCCAGACAGGTTAGCACAGGTGTAATCTTGTGACTTGAACTGAAGAGCTAGAAGCCTGAAGGTAACATCTAGGAGTTCACTTTCAAAGAGGAGAGGCACAGGCAGCTCCTGCTTACTTAAGGTGGAACGGTGAGAACTAGAGAGCTTTGAAAGGCCATGCCAGTAATGCACCAAATCTTCAGCCCAAACCCTTGATTAGCATAGGCACACAGCACTCCTGTCACGAGTTCCGCCGTGCCTGGCACTGCTCAGATAAAAAAGAAATGCTGCAGGCAGAAATAGGTCAGTGAGCCTGGCTACTGACCACTAAAAGTGTAGTTATTTTGTATCTCAAAAACATTTTCACAAAACAGGGGGTTGTGGTCTACTAGATAAATCCCTGGATCCATACATTGCCAGAATACAGTATGCAGTCTGTTGCAGTGGGCTTTTTTCTTAAGCAACAGCAGTACAAAAGACTCCTGCATACGAATTTGAAGCATAATTCTAGTGCAATTAATCTCACTGAATGATTCCAAACAGAATGTTCCCTGATTATCAAATGGAAGTGTCAGAGAAGGCCCCAATCAGGTTTCTCCCATCAGCAATTCAGCTTCCCACCATCACTGTTACAATCAAACTAAAACCAAAATCTGCAGCAGTCCCAGAGAGACTCACCAAGTAAGGAGAAATGAAGTCCTGCTTTCAGTTATGCATCCACACCCCCTCAGACATGGCTGCAGAGTGGCAGGTCAGTGCCATTCTCTACAGCCTTTCACAGTGGTATCCCCAGGAAAACCATGAGAAGGATTTGGGGGGGGGGGAGGGTGTCAGCTCAGTGCTAAGCACCTTACAGCATGTAAGAATCTGGCCCACAGTGAGAACAATGACTTGGCACATCCTATTAAACTAGGAGAATCTTAAAAATCCAGCACACTTTCTTCACTGGACTGTTTATTTATTGGAGTGGTTTCACACAGCTGCAATAGTAATGCTCAACCCATTAGATCATGCTCAGCTTCCAACCAGCTTCTCAGTGTATTTAACAATGCACTGATTCCTACCAGCTCTGAACTGTTTTTAGGATGGTACTTTGCCACATCTACATTTCATGCTAACTCAATCTGTTAGTTTTACTGTTTGAAAAGAAAGAACAAGAATTTGGCCTTCTGTAAAGCTCCGACAGTCCCTTTTCCCCTTATTTCACTAACTCTGTTCTTTCCTCTGCCTCTTTATTGCACCTGAATCAGAGCAGAAATTTTCCTGCTTTTTATTTTGCTGGGCTCAAAATTCAGGAATTAATTATCCCTTCTCACTGCCACAACACCAACTTCTCTATCACCATGGCCAAAGATTTCCTTCCTGTTTTTTGTTAAGTATAGCACAACTGTTTCTGCCTGTGTTTCTGCTCTTTTTCTTCACATTCCACTTTATCCTCTTTGCTCTGGCTAAATTAGTCTTGAAACCACTCTTACCAAACAGTTCTTCCATGCTTAATTTCAGGATGACCCATGAGACCGGTTACTGCATGTTTTTGAACAGCACTGGATCTTACAGCAGCTAAGGGACCAACACCATTTGGCTCCTATTCATAACTTTAGCACTGAATCATGATGTACCCAACTCAAACCATTTGATTCTTTTGTGACCCCAGTGCTTTTGCAGAGCTACCACATTCCCTCTAGTTGATCTCTTTTCTGAGCCAAAAAGTCAAGAAATGCTCCGTTGTCCCTAATATAGAAATTGTCCCGACCTCTTGGTCACTCTTTTATTGATCCAGATATGTTTTATTTAAATAGAAGTTATCACCCAGAAAGACTTTCGGTCTTGATTTAAAATTCAGAATAACAGAGAATTGTCCAATTTGTTTCCTCAGTGTTAAACATTATCCCTAATTTATCTTTCAGCCAGTGTGTTTTGCTGAAACCTGTCGCGTTAAAGAGTTCTTCAGTAGCCAGCATTGATTTTCTGCTCAGCAACATATACACTGCATCAAACCACTTCTTAGCAATTAGCTCTACCTCAGCTCTATTTAACTTATGTATGTCATAAGACATTCCCTCTCTCCTTAAATGATACTTGTGGTTCTCCTCTGTAGCTTCTCCAGTCACGAATATCCTCCCTAGATTGTACAAATCAAAGCCAAACTCCAAGGCAGTGTTAAGGGTGACCTACAGACAGAGAACCATGTTCCTGCCTCTCTACAGACTTCTGCAGCATCATTCTGATTCTCTGCATGACTCCAGTGTCCATGTGCTATGATTCCTCATTTTTTCTTGGCATTACTCTTTTCCACTATACAGCTCCCTGCTCCCAGGGGTGTGAACTGTGATCTCAGCTCTCAGGCTTATTGCTTTGAGATTGGTTGTATTACAAATCCTTTGTGTGACTATGCCAACCTTCCTAACCCACTGTGTGTATCTGCTTTATACTCAGAGTAACTTACATTTTAGACAATTCTCTGTGTTACTCAGAAATGCTTTCAGTGGCAATTTTACGCTTACAGAAAGGCTGGGATAACTCAGATAAAGCAAAATGAAAAATAACACTAAAAATCATTATGAAGGTGAGTCAGGAGACAGAAAGCTCCATGTTGCTGATGACTGCAGTCATCCCCAGCTAATGCTAATCTGATCTGGGAGGTGCCTGCTGTGCATCACAGCTCAAAAGCACACCTCCTGCTTCTGGACCCATGCTGGCCCAGACAACTGAAATGTCTCTGTGTTCAGTGACACCAGACTCAACTAAGATCTTTATCAAAATGTCACAATGGTACATCAAATGCTTTGTGAAATATGTTGTGAAATATGTTCCTGCACTAATCAGTAGGAAACAGACTTGCAACCTTATCAATAAATTAAAATGGATTTATCAACAAGGCAATGTTGATAAAAATAAAAATTATCACTAGTTATTGACTCATTTATGACCTGCCTATCAGCTTTTGGACTGTGCTGCTTGGGACTGGTGTCACGTTAACCATAACTCAGCTGCTGGGTCATCCTGCTTGCTCTGTTTATTTAATTTGCTTTCCTTAAACATTGGCACAATACTGTGAGACTTCTGAGGTTTCACTGAAATGCCATGAGTTCTTAGAGATGAGGTCTCTGTTCTGTTCGTTCTGTCAGAGCTCTCTAGTATCAGTTATCTGAGCCTGCTGCTTTAAAATTATTAATGTTACTTATGATGATGAACCTCATCTTTAATTACCTGCAGGCTGGAAGGGATTTCATCATCCTTCTGTAATACAAATACTTCACTCTGCATATTTCAATACTAAGCATTATTAACAAAACTTGCCCACTGCATCTTGTGCCATTGCAAGGCTTTCTTCATCAGGTTATTTAGTGTGATTTTCACCTTCAGTTTAGCTGTTCCAGCCACAATTTCCTGGAGTATCTTTAGTCCTCAGTTTATTTTTATAGCTCATAATTCTCCATGGATATTGATTGCAACATAGCTTCCTTTTTAAAAAATAATAAGCATCAGTAATTATGGCATTTTCAACTTCTGTTGCATTTTTCATGTGTAGGTTTCACTCAGAACATCTTATAAATATTCATTAATCTTCAAAATATACCTGAGAAGAAAATACATAGTGAGAAGCAAACTGAGTCAGTGGGAGAGAATCAGTAAGAGACTTATCTGATCATTGCAAGTATTGCAGAACTAGGGCTAGCACAGACAAGTCCTGTTTCAGAGCCTTATTTCACACTGCAGATGGAGTTACACTTTGTAAGGTGATCCTTGGACAAAAGTTATGCAGAAATCATAGAATCACCAAATTGTTTAGGTTGGAAAAGACCCTTAGGATCATGGGGCACAACCATTAACCTCGCAATGCCAAGTCCACTGCTAAACGTGTCCCTAAGTGTCACAGCTACACATCTTTTAAATGCCTCCAGGGACAGTGACTCAACCACTTCCCTGGGCAGCCTGTTCCAGTGCTCAGCAGCCCTTTTGGTGAAGAATTTTTCCCAATATCCAGTCTAAACCTCCCCTGGTACAGCTTGAGGCTGTTTCCTCTTGTCCTATCGCTTGTTACTTGGGAGAAGAGACTGACCCCCACCTCACTACAGCCTCCTTTCAGGTAGTTGTAGAGAGAAGATAAGGTCTATCCTGAGCTTCCTTTTCTCCAGGCTGAACAACCCCAGTTCCCTCAGCCGTTCCTCATCACACTTGTGCTCCAGGCCCTTCACCAGCTTCACTGCCCTTCTCTGGACACACTCCAGTATTTTATGAAATAAAATACTGCAAAAAACTGAGCATCCAAAAAATAGAACATGTTATTAAACAATGCGTTTCCATGTGCCTTCAGGGATAACAAAATTCTAAAATTCTCTCATGAGACCTCACCTGGAGTATTGTGTGCAGTTCTGGTGTCCTCAACATAAAAAGGACATGGAACTGTTGGAACAAGTCCAGAGGAGGCCATGAGGATGATCAGGGGACTGCAGCACCTCCCGTATGAAGACAGGCTGAGGAAGTTGGGGCTGCTCAGCCTGGAGAAGAGAAGGCTGCATGGAGACCTCATAGCAGCCTTCCAGTATCTGAAGGGGGCCTATAGGGATGCTGGGGAGGGACTCTTCATCAGGGACTGTAGTGGTAGCACAAGGGGTAATGGGCTAAAACTTAAACAGGGGGTATTTAGATTGGATACAAGGAAGAAGTCCTTTACTGTAAGGGTGGTGAGGCACTGGAATGGGTTGCCCAGGGAAGCTGTGAATGCTCCATCCCTGGGAGTGTTCAAGGCCAGGTTGGACAAAGCCTTGGGTGACATGGCTGAGTGTGAGTTGTCCCTGCCCACGGCAGGGGGGTTGGAACGATATGATCTTAAGGTCCTTTCCAACCCTAACTGTTCTATGATTCTAAAAATAATAATTGTTAGATTATTTAAGGCAAATAGTGTCAAAACAGGCTGATTTCTCTTGCTGAGAAACAAGCAGCCACCAGAAAAAAGGAAAGCTGTAGATGAGATGTGGCCTTATAAGGGGTTTGGTAACATTTGATCTAACAGTCTGATAAGCAAACTGAGAAAACCGAAGTGCAAATGAAATCACCATAACATGGGTGCACAACTGGTTAAAAATTATATTAAAGTATTACTATGAGCATGTTGTCATTAAGCTCAGACAGATATTCTTTTAGGAACTGCAGAGGGTCTGTTCTGATTTTAGTCAATACTTCTGCTTACTTCTGCTTAGATTTTGCAAGCACTTTGAAAGACAAGATGAGAATAAAAACAATCTTTCTGACCAGAGAGCTAGTCAAGGCCTCCAAAGGTAAAATTCTGAAAATGGAAATGAAAAATGCTGGGACTGAGGAAAGGTTAATCAAGGAAAAAAGTCATCCAGGGAAAAACAAGACATGGGAAATACATGACAAGGGAACAGCAGAGCAGCCAAGGAGTTGGGACACATGGTAGAAACTTATGCTATTTACAGTTGAAATGTCATACTGAGGAAGTTTTACTCTTTTAAGTCTTCCATGTATGCGGAGCCCTGGAAGTCCTGACTCACAAAGCAAGCAGATGTAAGACCTACAGACATCCTGCTAACAGTTACTCAGAGTTTGTGATGTATGTATCTCACATTCCACTGAGGCGCTGCTTCTGGAATGACCCCACTGCACGCACAGGCTGTGGAATGTGGTGGGTATCAGGCAGAGTTTAATTTTATCCATCTTCTCAATAAAATCAGCTCACAAGCTCTGTCAATGCAAGTGTAATATATTCTAGGAGAGCAAACATGCTTCTGATATATAAATCTGATGACTATGTAAAATAAAGAGAATAAAATTAGCTGGATTTATGCATAGTTTCTGGTTATTTTCCTTCCTTTTTCCTGTTCAAAAGGTTTTAATAACTTGGAGTCATTGGAAAATAAAAAAGCCACATGCTCTAGACATCTCATGTGGCTCTTGTGTGTTTGCTCTTAACTCCACTTACTTGTCTAAATAATTGTGTTCCCTTTTAGACAAGAACAGTTAGAGTCCAAAAAGCATTAGGATTTGGATTACAATTTGAAACACTGCCAAGCTTTACTAATGGCAAGACTAAAGTCCCACGTGCCTGAAGACTGATAATTCTCAAGCACAACTCATTTTTCCTTTTGGCAAAAATAAGACCAGCACCTTTGATAAAATCACTTTAGCAAACAGGTCTCATTCAGCACAAAGCTGCAGGACAATTCTAGGTGTGAAAAAAAGGAGCCAAGCGTTTAAATCAATCATCTACTTCAGAGACGTGTGGGACACAGTTAGGATCAGACCCCAATAATCTGGCAGCTTTCAACCTCTGCAAGAAAAAGTTGCAGCGATCCCATAGTGGAGATTTCACTCCTGAGAGAAATGAGAGGGGAAACTCTCACTGCTCACAGTTTTGATTCTCTTTAGCTACTAAAAGCATATCTCTCCTGTGTCTGTTTTGATCACCAAATACTATCCAAGTCTTAGTATTCTTTTGGCCTCCTTCCTTGGAAATGCAGTGAGCTCTCTGTGGAGTTTGCCTTGGTTCCCCTCTCAGACAGCTGTGATTAATTCAGTGTTCAAGCTCTTGAGTTAATTCTCTCATTAGATCACTTTCTTTCTCCATGGAATGATTATTCCCACAGGAGAAATGAGAAAGATTGAAACAATATCATGCTAGTATCTGACACACTGCATCCAGGATGTTTACTTTAAATCAAATTGCCTGGAATTGCTCCAGATCTATGGCTTCAACACAAGAATCTTCTAACTGGTGGGGAACTGTAGCCATGCATGTTGCACAACATTTCCAGTGTCACTAGAATTCCTCCAAACTTTCTGCTAGGTAAGCATACCCTCTCCACACAGGCAGGTCAGATGACACACTCATTTCATTGCTGGGGCATTCTTTAAGACTGGAAAATGGGCTTGCTTTTCTTTTTTTTTAATTACTTTTTATCATACACCAGTCACCTTTCTACCCAACAGTAATGTGAAGGTGAAGCCTGGAGCAAACAGCAGTGAAATACTGCTAGTACTCCTGCAATCACAAACCCCTATGTGTGCATTACTCATTGGGAATGTTATATTCCCTCTGAAGGGTCTTGCAGCTCAGACATGCTCCCCACTTTTGCTGCCTGCCAAACGGCTTCCAGGGACATGGCTAGTCACTGGAAGGCATCACTGCAGTCAGCTGGACTCTAGCATAGCTTCTCAGTACCTTTGGTGCAAGGTGGATACTCAGGAGAGTTTCTCAATACCCGGTTCAAGAATGTTAAACCTGCCTGGACTGACAAATCTGGTTTCAGGCATTTACTTTAGTATCACATTTACCTGAAACCATATTAAAGAAAAAGTAATAAAAATAATCACAAATTTCAAAAGTTCACAAAGGCTTCTAAAGATGAGGAGGAGAATCATTCAGAGTGGCACTTCACTGAGCTTTACACTCTCCCCAGACATTAACAGTTCAGCTGAGTAATAGACAGAGCCATCACCACCTTGCTGGTAGTGTGAAAATGTAAAAGTTTTCACACAAGCTGTATATTCTGGGGCTGCCTATGCAGAAAGACTGGCTTTGGGGACCCCTCTTGCTCTCTGCTTTTGGGTGAATTCCAGTTCAGACCTCTACCTCACACACACACACATATAATCGTCAGGATTCATTAACCCTCACAAGAATGAAGGTAGCAGCTCTTGGGGCTGGCCCAAACCTGTCAAGAGATAATGTTTTCATGCCTGGCTTAAGTCTGGAAAATGTGTTATGTCCCTGTGAAGCCTTTACCCACTATGATGGGAAACATTCTGACATCAAAGGGAGGTTTCTCCATCCACTGAAGCTTATATGTCACATAAAAACATAAACAGACAACAGATTCATGCAGGTATCTAATTAGAATCTAATGCCTGACACTTATTAGAGGGTTTTGACTGAGTAGACAACATGATAACCAATCCCACTAGGGAGATAACAAGTTAACCACCATTGTCTTTGAGAGATACCATGAAAGTCCCCAGGGAGCCTCTTCTTTCTTCCATGTTTCATGAATGTGAACTGCAGGAGCCTCTCTCATCTTACCCCTACTAGGGGCTGCAGATTCATCATGCAGCACGTAACACCACTCCACTAAACTGTGCATCAACAGAGACTGCTGATCTGCACCATTGCCTTGGGCATGCAGTGGCATCTGGAGTAAATGGGACACTTAGGCTAATATCAGCTTTAACAGGGAGAGGATGTCTTGGAAGCTTAAGAGATGTAATTTAGCACACTACAGATATTTCTAGTCCCCACAAACTCTTAGTGGTTCTATACTTCTGCAATTTCGGCTTCCCTGGGAGAAGTTTGAATTCAAGTCCTTATGAAACTTAGGGCAGTAGAGCAAAAATGGTTGTATCCTAGGAAGGTTTTGTGACCTGCACACCAAAACACAAAGTAAAGCTCCCTTCCATTTTGGTGAGGTTGTCCAACACCTCTCTTCTGACAGGTCAAGTGCATTAAGCTGTAAGTTGTAACTACAATGGGTAATTTGTTATTAAAACAGTAACTGTTCTAATTAACTGACAGTACCATTGAGATATTGTATCTAGCAGATGCCTTAGCACAGAGGATAAAGTCAGAGATACAGTGCTGTTTGGAACAGGAAGTGAAGATTTCATACGCATTGAAACTGGGAGAAGAATTTTACCCAGCACATTCTAGTTGACTTTCATGGAAAGTGGCCCCCTATCACAAAACATCCCACAGGGTTTGTCGTACCTACAAATAGTCAAGGCCTGGGTTTCATGTCTCCTCTGCAACAGAGAAGTAACCAAGAAACAAGCCAAGTATGGTAAGGATACTGCTTGACTAGTAAGTCAGAATGATCCCTAAAGCTATAGATATAATGGAAAGGCTCATGACTAGAGGCAGACTAGAGGCACAACTGCACTTCTAAATAAGTTATTTTTCTTTTAGGTGTTTTTGAGAGTAAAAGCCCTCTATCTTTATGGAGTTCAGGAAAAAAAAAAAAAAAGGGTCGTGAGGGGAAGAAGACCCAAACCAACAAAACCTCAGGTCTAACAAAGATCTTTCCGTGACAAGAGGACCACACATGGAACACCTTTTAGCCACCCGGTTTTGTTGCATGTTCAGAATACCATCCTGTGGTAACAGCACCATCTGCAGGATTTGAGAGGGGAAGGACAGACAGCGCCGCAGAACATCTTCCAGGCATCTGGAAAGTTTTTACTGAGAAGCCTTCAGCCAGGGAAATCTGAGCAGCATGGGCCTCATTGCGATAACACAGGGAGGACTGCAATGCTCCATGGCGCTCTGGCATAGCACAGGGTTTTTTCAAGATAAAGCCTAAATCCCTTGTTTGTGAGAGTCTTCTCCCTGAGGGGTTTTGGTACTGTAACAGCAGCACTTCTGTGCAGGCATGAACAGGGGGACATGGTGATGAGCACAAGGCATGGTTTTTTTGCCACCTGTCCTATATGTCAGCCAGCATTCAGATGGCTTATTGGCAAATATCATGTTAGGAGCCTATTAACTTCAAATTGAAGACATTTTTGATTCCTTCACTGTAGTTGGTGTTAGTTAATCAGAAAGCTCCTAATTACACAGTGCAATTTATCACTGTCAAATGTACTGTTAGACTCATTCTTGAAATTCTACAGCTCGTTTGGGAAATGCACAATAGTACATGAGAGCATTAGGTCCATCTTGTACAGCCTCTGCACGGTTACGGAACAAACACGCTGAAGCAGTGCCCTCTTCTGGAGGCAGAGCCGTTCAACCACATTAGTACAGGACAGGAGAGGCCTGCAAGGGCAAAATTAGCAGTCTCAGCAATGCTATTTTGTGTCAGTAAATTTGGCTCTACGGTGTGAAATCCTGATACTGGCCAAGTGTCTAACAGCTGACATCAGCCAGCCACTGAGCCACTGGCATTTAGGAGAATTCTAAGCCCTTTACTCACAGGCCACTTCCAATGAATAAAATGTCAGCGTGAGAGGGGTCTGGTTTCTTTACTAATTCATCAACTAAAGGAAAATCCAAAAGCATTTATTAGCCTAGCTTAAAATTTAGACTGAGTTATATCAGCATGCATCCAACTGTGCATGCTTGCAGAAACCTTATTTTCTATCTAGGTCACTATTTTCTGTGGGCATTTTTTTTAAGACCAGCTCGAAAGGTAATTTTACCACTCTTGTCAAGAATGTAATGCTGATGAATGGAGAAACCACCAGTCCCCAGAGAGTACCATGATTCAGATTCCTTCCAGAAGCACATTTTAAAGTTATTACAATGAAACATGGAATCATGAGAAAAGCCTGAGGGGCCATGACCATTGAAACTGTAAGCAGACATATTCTTCTTTCCCAGTCTCACAGTAAATAGATATGGACGTGTTCCAAGGCGCTCTCTGATTGCTTTTTGCTTTGGCTGCCTGTCATGTTGTGGAAAACCCAGGAGGGATGCTTTTCTCTCAGAATCAGTGCCAGATCTGCCAGACCCAGTGACCATGTGCATGTAACTCAGTATGTGATGCTCTTCCCTCACTCAGTGCTGAGGCATGCTGTGACTCCATGAATCACACAGACCAAGACGGAAGCATGCTCTGCCTCAGGATCAGTGCTGACCCCAGCGGCCCACATGGTAGTGCTACAGGACACTGTGATGAATGAAACATTCGTGCTGGAATGAAAAGGAAGGCCCAAACATGGCATGATGCTAAAGGACGGAGGAATGTGGGCTGGCTCAGCCTCCAGTCAGCTCTGGCTCCAATGCCACAGGCCTGAGCTAATGGCAGGCAGTGTCTACTGTCTCTGGGGTTCCCCCAGGCAGACGGCAGCTGCAGTTTCTCCCCAGCACTGCCATGTTTCTCTCTCCCAAGCACAGATTAAGGTGGCTGGGAATCCAGTTTGCAAAAGCACACCTGAGGGGAATGTGATGGAGGGACAGATTGTGTGACAGCTCATTCACCACTTACCTCAGCACCAGCCACAGAGACCAAAGCTCTCAGAGGACCAGCTTTAACCACAGACAAGAAAGCTCCACACAGAGCTGGCAACACACCCATGGTGTGGTGGCCAGAGGTGCCTGTGGGGGTGAACAGGCTCCACAGAGCCAAACGACGAGGCAAGCACGTAGATAAAGGATCAGACAGACCTACCCCCACCAGGGCAGGTCCGCTTCCTACACCCGCTGACGGAGAAGAGTACTCAGCACAGAGAACACCTCAGCAGAGGCTCTTTTGCGAAGCCTGCCATAACGAAACTCTACCGTCCCAATGAAGCGAGCGCCCACTTCAGCCACCAGCCTCCCCCCTCAGCGCATGCGCTGCGGGAGAGCCGAGGCGGGAGCCGCGGCGGCAGTGCGCATGCGCCAGGGCGGCCCCTCGGGTAGGGGAGGGGGCTCCCGGCACCTCAGGGACCGTGATGGCGAGCGCCGCGGCGGCGAAGGGCGGCGGGAGTTCTGTAAGTTCCGTAAGCTCCGTCTCTGATCGGCACGCCCGCCTCCTCCTGGCCCAGATCAACCGGCTGCGGGCCGGACAGAGCTTCTGCGACGTGCGGCTCGAGGTGGGCCCGGAGGCGTTCGCTGTGCACCGCCTGGTGCTGGCGGCCAGCAGCCCCTACTTCGCGGCGCTCTTCGCGGGTGGCATGAAGGAGTCCGGCCGGGATGTGGTGCGGATCGCGGGGATCGAGGCGGACACCTTCCACACGCTCCTTGACTTCATCTACACAGGTAACGGTTGATGGGGGGCGGCGGGCAAGATGATGGTTGCCCGACAGCCTGCCTGGGCACCCGCCATGGCCAGTTGTCCGATGGCAGGGCCGGGGTGCAGGCTGCCTGGCGATCACAGCCCCGCTGTCATGTGTGTGCCCGCAGGGGTGGTGAACATCGGGGAGCACAACGTTCAGGAGCTGATCGTCGCTGCTGACATGCTGCAGCTCACCGAGGTGGTGGAGCTCTGCTGCGAGTTCCTGAAGGGGCAGATCGACCCGCTGAACTGCATCGGTTTCTTCCAGTTCTCCGAGCAGGTAGCCTGTCACGACTTGATGGAGTTCACTGAGAGTTACATCCATGCACACTTCCTGGAGGTGCAGAGCGGGGAGGAGTTCCTGGCGCTGACAAAAGAGCAGCTGATTAAGATCCTGCGAAGTGAGGACCTGAGCATCGAGGACGAGTACCAAGTTTTCATAGCGGCAATGCAATGGATTTTGAAGGATGTGGGAAAAAGAAAGAAATACGTCGTAGAAGTACTGGAACCTGTTCGATTCCCTCTGCTACCAGCACAAAGGTTATTAAAATACATAGAAAGTAAGTGAAAGAAGGAAAGACTATCAGATGATTGTATCTGAGCAAACCATGTGTTGTTCAGTTACAGGATTTTGATGGCTTTCTATAGATTAATAGTACAATGAGTGAAAAGATTTATTCTATAGCAAACAAGTTCTGTTTTTTAACAAATAAGCACAGCTTGCTGTAGAAACAAATCTTATAGAAGTAGGCAATCTTGATTTGCCTGCTTGCTTAGGAGAACATAATAATTTTTCAACAACTGAGTTACCATCTGTAACTTTTCACTGTGCCTTCTTTTTTTTTTTTTGTTCTCTTTATTTCCTCAAGGTATTCCAGATTTCAGCCTTCGGGTGGCCCTGCAAACCCTGCTGAAAGAATATTGTGAAGTCTGTAAATCTCCCAAAGAAAACAAGGTCAGCAGTTTTCTGCAAGCTTCTAAAGGTCGTCCCCGGAGGAAAGCCAGGAAGTACCTTTATGCAGTAGGTTAGAATGTGGCTGCTTGAACCTTGTAAAACAAGTGATGAAGTAGTATCTCTTATTACAGTACTGACGGAGATACTGGAATTTATTAGGTTTAATCAAAAGATATAGAAATAGCAAAACGTTTCATCTGGCTGAGTTACCATGTTAGCTGCTTTCTGCTTAGAATTACCCAGGAGTCCCGCGTTCACATTTCTTGTCATTATGACATGGCATTCAAAGCCTTAGATTTGTCTTTTAGAAATTATTTGCCTAGGATGGAAAGCTGCAAACCAGCAGAGGATTTGCCTATGGTTCACTGCTGGAATGGTGTACAAAAAACTCGCTGCATTCCTTGTTTGAAGGTTGAAGTTTTCTCTGTCCAGGATGCTTCAGTTCATGTGGTGGGATAATTGAAATTGCAAGTTTTCAGCAAAGCTGCAGCTATGTATTGGAAGGGAATGCTCTTGTTTCACCCTATGAAAAGTAACACTGATTTAAGATAGCACAAGCTGGTCTCTGTGTTTTGCTAAGAACACAAATGATATTTCTAGTGTTGAGGTACAGAGGCTCAGGCACAAGTTTTGTGACTCCCCAGGCAACCATTCTTCCTTGTGTGCTGGAGAAACAATGCTATTTGGGAAAATCTAGTTCCTACTAGAAGTGACTAATGAGTGTTACTCTCATTTTTTATCTAATGGTTTAGATACAGGAGCATGGGGACCAGCAGGAAGCTCTTACTCAGCTGTTACTTTCTAGGTGGGTACACCCGACTGCAGGGAGGACGCTGGAGTGACAGTAGAGCCCTCAGCTGTGTGGAGCGATTCGACACCTTCAGCCACTACTGGACCACAGTGTCATCTCTCCACCAGGCCCGGAGTGGGCTCGGTGTGGCTGTGGTGGGAGGAATGGTCTATGCCATTGGAGGTAACAGCTGAAATATGCTTTCTTTCTAACATGGACACTAAAGAACTCTTCTTGTAAGTGGTTCTGAGAAACCCAAGAGTAGATAATACAACTTCTAGATATAACAATTGAGTTGGGGATTCTTGGTTCTCTACCATCACTGCTCTGTTTGGGCTCCTATGTTGGCCATTTTTTACTAACCTGCTCTCCTCTCATGGTGTAGCAACTCACAGGTAGGCATGTGGACATGTGCAGATATGCTGACATATATGGTATATAGTTGGATATTCTGTGGACTTTGTGTACCACCCCTAACAGCATTTCTTTTCTCACATGTAGTTCAGCAGAAGTCCATAGCCTAAAAGGCAGGGGTACAAGACAGACTACTTGTTGTCTGCCTACCTGGAAAGGCTTGTTATGTATGTTTGTTCAAGGATGTGATGAGTAGCTCAGCTGTACTAGCCCATCATTAAAAGAATGCCTATGTATGCTGTTTTTGTCATTGTGGAACATATTCTTTGGTCTTGAAAACACCATGAGTTGTGCTACGGAGTAAAAAGTGTGTAGCACTGTGGTTGTCTGCCCCTCTGATGCTTTCAGTGATGTTTTGGGAAACTGTTGATGAAAGCTGTTCCTGGTGATGATTCAGTTCTGGGTATAAACAAAGCTTTTGCTACTTCGGCTATTTGGTTAGCTAAAAGAAAGATCTTGTATTCAAATGTTGTCTGTCCTGGAAGGAGTTGAAGAATGCTTCTATACCTGCAGTGCAAAACGTTGCATTTCCGTTTTTTCTGTTCTTGGTCTTATTATTCAGGTGAGAAGGACTCAATGATTTTTGACTGTACTGAATGTTACGATCCTGTTACTAAGCAGTGGACCACTGTGGCTTCCATGAACCACCCTCGTTGTGGACTGGGAGTGTGCACATGCTATGGTGCTATCTATGCTTTGGGTAAGTTTTGGTTTTTTTTCTAGGTGAAGTTAATTTCTAAGTGTTAATTCATGAAACTTGTAAATTGATTTGATCTTAAATATTATATCTTGGTGTTGCAAATTTGCGAACTGAAGTTTTGAAAAACAGCTGTTTCCTTGAGCGTTAGTGTACCAAATCTTTGTGGATTAGTTGTCATTCAGGTATAACTTATTTCTGTTCTGGAACAATGTCTCATCTGTCTAAAAATGCAGCTAACACACAGCTTCATGTCATTAAATTCTTTCCTATATTTGCTGTTATTTGCAGGAGGTTGGGTTGGAGCAGAGATTGGCAACACAATTGAAAGATTTGATCCAGAAGAAAATAGTTGGGATGTGGTGGGAAGCATGGCTATGCCCCGTTACTGCTTTGGCTGTTGTGAAATGCAAGGTGAATATTAAGTTTGTATCCATAAACAGTTCTGAGAGGCACTGGATTTTGAAGCTTTGTTTAATTTTTACCTTTGTCTCATACTGTGCTGTCAGTTGCACATGCTTGTGCCTCACTTATTTGTTCTTCTAATACCATATCTTTAATTTTGCAGAATTGAAAGACTGTGTATAAAGTTCTTTCTGTCTTCTGCCTTTTATCTCATGGACACAGTTTTTATATGGCTGCTGGTATGGTTACCCAAATAGTCTTTTAACAGCTGGTTATCCTTCCCAACACTGCTTTTATTTACCTTCCGTACTTGCATTTGTTTGTGTTTCTTTGTGACAATCTGAAGAGTTGCCACACATCATTTTAAGACAGGCATGTGTAAAGACTTGATCTATAATTGCACTTATTAATTTAATTTAATTAATTTAATTTAATCCAAGCCTGGTCAGCAGTTGCAGCCTTCTGAATTCTCTCCCCCATACTTGATTAATTATTGCTTTCATCAGAGCTTTTAGTGCTTGAGCCTCAAAGTACTCATTTGAAAGTTCTATGTCTGTTGCTAATGGACAAATGGAGGATTTTTATCTGGCATTCTTAAGCCATCTTAATACTGGGCTGAAACTTGTATTGTGACAGACATTTTCTGTCTTTCAAACCTTTGTATTATGAAACCTATCAGAGGAGAAACTGTTTCTACAGGTTTGATCTATGTTGTTGGTGGTATCAGCAATGAAGGAGTAGAGCTACGTTCTGTTGAAGTCTACGACCCAATATCTAAACGTTGGTCTGAGCTTGCTCCAATGGGCACCCGAAGAGCGTATCTTGGTGTAGCTGCTCTCAATGATTGTATCTATGCTGTGGGAGGCTGGAATGAAGCTCAGGATGCACTTGCTACTGTGGAGAAGTACTCCTTTGAAGAGGTATGGTAGAGTCCCTTTCTTTCATAAATGTAGATTGCATCAACTTTGTGTAAGATGCTCTAGAGGGGGCCTACTTCCTTTCTTTAAAAAGGAAAAAGTTGGGAGTTCCATTTCCTTTTCACTACTGGCTGCTAATCTGAGTGAAACCAAGCCTCAGTGACCTCAGTGGATCTGTCTGTCCTAACCAGTCTGTAGAATGTTGCTCTCTAGCTTGGTGGTGTGTTTACAAAGTTGCATGCAGGCTTTTGCAAAACTGAAAGCAAACCAATACTGATGATGCATAGATAGACTGTCCTTTAGTAAATACATACTAGGGTTAAGATGGGGGATAGATTCCCCCTCTGCAATAGAATGATAATTGATCTGATTAGAGAGAAAGAAAGTCCCTGAAAAAGGAAGTTGCCCTTTGAAAATTTCAAAGTTGAGGATCTTTCTTCCACTTCGAAAGTGGTGTTTCAGCATGACTATACAAATCACTTTGAGCACTTAAACTTTTGAATAAGATAAGAAATTGTTCCTGACTGCTATTGCTCATGTTCCTATGATGCTCTTTGGAGCAGTAGCTACTATTAAAAACAAAACATAATCCAGTGTGCCATTCTGTTTTGCTTTTGTAATTAAATCTAGTTTTCCTTATTTTCCACCTCAAACTGCGTACTATTCTCTATTTCGGAGACAAACTGCATCTTGCAGTGACTGAGGAAAGGGAGAGGAGTTCTGTACAGACACTATGTGACTCTAGTAACTACCATGATTTGGACTGCTTGTGAAAGTGCTGTCATTCCAGTCTTGATAATCCTCTTGATTCTGTACACATGCCACACCTGAGCCTATGAAGTGTATATGTAGTGTTCTTTGTATATGTTTCAGTCTTTAAGCTTTAAACTTTTATCAGAATTGGGCTTGCCCCTAAACTATTTGTTGACTATTTCACCATCTCATTAGGAAAAGTGGATTGAAGTTGCGTCGATGAAGATACCGAGAGCTGGTGTCTGTGTTGTGGCTGTGAATGGATTTCTTTATGCCTCAGGAGGCCGAGCTCCCAGTCATGATTTTGCTGCGCCAGTAACCTCTGACTCTGTTGAAGTTTATAATCCTCATACGGACAGTTGGACTGAAATCGCCAACATGATCACCAGCCGCTGTGAAGGAGGTGTAGCTGTGCTGTAAAACACAACAAAGAAAACTTATGCAAGGAATGAGTAAATCTGCCTCCTCAGATTTCTGGTTTCATTGGTCAGAAACGTAACACAGGAGCTTCAGTAGAGACAGTGGAGAATTGGGTCAGAGGGCTTTTCCTGAGCAGAAGGAAATATTACAACTCTTGCCCTTCAAAGTAAATTGGCTTATCTGATGTCTGTCTCAGGGGGTATCCTGTTAAGAGTAGAAATGGCTCTGACTCCATTTAGCTTACTGAAATAGGTGGTGAATATGTCCTGTAAGAATCTGAAGAAATCATTCCAGCATGTTAGGGGCAGCAATCAGATTGTTAACTCTGTAAGGTGCACCAAAGCTAACATCTTTAGCTGCTTTTACAATCTGGAAGGAGATTACTGTAGATAGCTAGAAGTTACCTGTGGATAAGAGCAGTTGGGCTACTTGGTTAGCATTAGTTGTCCTTTTCTGATGGGGGGGGGGGAAGGAAGATAACAGACAGGGAAGACTTGGTACCTCTACTTACGACCTCAATGCGTTTGAACCTCTTTGCTGCTGCTGGACATGATGGGCATTAAATAGGAATTGGATATTTACTTTCTGGCCACTTCACTAACTTGGATGGTGAGTGGCTGAGATTTTCCTGTTTTGGAAGGTTATTCTCATCGTTCTAATAATGTCATTCCACTTCAGCATAGGCTTTTCTCAGTGGTATCAGTGATGACCTCCTTTTTAAGTTCTGATGAATTTTAAATGGAAATGCTATTCATTAGATTAGTTGTTTTCTTTTGGACTGCTCTTAGTATAAAAATGTAGGGAAAGCTTTTTGCCCCCACCCCCCTGTAGTGGTTTTATCCTGTGTGACACACGCTGAGGCTTGGCATTGCAATACATGCTGTTCTACAAGGTACATACCTCCATCTTTGCTACATCTTATATCCTGCCTCTTCCAGACTTGAGCAAACGGAGGGTTTTGTGATAGAATTATTTGCATTCAGCATTGAAGTGGTGCTATTAGTGTGTTTTGTCTTAAGGAGTTTGTATTTGGCTTGGATACGCTTAGTAGAGCAATACTGAGAGTTTGGAGTTATTTCTAGATTCATTTAATTAACATACTTGAAGTTGCTTTTTGCACAATATGATTGCATTTTCTGCACAACTGTGGATGATTTGAATGGAGTCTGAAATAAGGCTGCTTGAACTTTGATAGTGTTACTCTAGAATACAAAACCACAACTGGAATGTCACAAAACAGGAAGCCTGCACTGTGTAGACAAAGGAGCATTCATGCTGTCTAGGTCAATATCCCCTCTGTAAAATTAACAAATAAATACATGAATAAAGTCCTTCAAGGTAAGCATTGCAGGTACTGTAAGAATTTTGGTCTTACATTCTAACACAGGGTTGGGAGATTGCCAGACTGACACATACTTGATGATGGAACATTTATTTTTCTGATGGTTCTAGAATCTTGTGTGTGCTTTTACTTCAAAGATATTTTACGTGTGTGAACTAAAGTCTATTCTCTCATATTCTTTTCCTAATTTAAACTTGTTTTAAATAGCTTTTCATAATAAAAGTGCGTTTTCAGAACTGACTGTGGAATGCTCTTTAGTAGGTTGGTTTCCTGTTACTGCCACTTTCATATAATAGGTCCTTTTTTTTACTGGAAATCCTATTTCCTTGTGGGACACCAGATCATTTATAGATGTGTACTATTTGAAAGTTGCAAGTAACACAGTAGTAGTAAAATAGACATGTATTTCTCCTCTTAGTATAAAATCACTCCGATTTCTTGGAAGCCTGGCTGCCCTGTCAACTCTGCAGCCTGCTCTAGGATCAAATGATGAGTTGGATCTCATAGGCTTTCTTCTTTACTTTCAGGATCCCTCATTGAACTATTTGAGGAACATGACTTTAGCTGTATTTTATTTGTTTGGGAACTAGGGGTTCACTTCTGATCCCTACCCATAAACTTCTTGGATCAGTGGAGCTTAAGGGAGTCTGCTGTTGTATGAGGTCACCTTCTCCATTTTTACAGTCGATTCCATCATGCTTGAATGAAACTTTGAAGTTAGTTATGTTCTCTGATACTCTCCACCTCTTTCCCTGAATTAAGGCAAAGGTAGGTCCAAAGAAGAGCACCATCTTAAAAAAACACCATGTCTAAGTAAGAAAGACTAGAAAACTCTTTTCATTCACAAACTCATTTTTACTTCCTTTATATTCAAGAGTGCAGAAATACATCACTGTTTCACACCTATGATGCTGTTAACATGTAAAAGTTAACATGTTGCAGAAGTTAGAGGCTCATGTATATAGTTGCTATTTCAGCAATACCATAAAGAAGATGGCTGTCTTCAAGATAAACAGGTCTTTCTTCAGCATCTATTCTTTGCAAAAAGAATAGATACAAATTTTAAGTGCTTTATATAGTGAAGAATACTGCATTAAGAAAATTATGAGGAGTATCTAAATTTGTACTAAGACTGCGTGTGGATGTCACTTTTCAGTTTTTTTTCTTGCAACTTACACTGTACATAAAAAATACTTAAAAAGCCAACAGTAAACATGCTGACATAAAATTTCCTAAGTTTCTTGAAATAGCTGAGTCTAGAAAAGAAAATCCATGTAACTTAAGCTTTGTCTTCATCCCCCTAAATGATGTTTTAGGAGACTTAAGTACAAAAAGCATATGGTTCTGCAGTGTTTTCAGTAATTGGCTCATCATGGAGGGCTTGCAGGCTACAAGTCCACTTCTGCTTGCTCTGAGACAAACAGGTTACCCAGAGAAGCTGTGGCTGACCCATCCCTGGCAGTGTTCAGGGCCAGGTTGAACAAGGCTTTGAGCAACTTGATCAAGTGGAAGGTGCCCCTGCCCATGGCAGGCGGGTGGAACAAGGTGACCTTTAAGAACCCTTCCAATCCAAACCATTCCATGATTCTAGCTGTCCCCAGTCCGTCAGAGCACCTGGATGACAAGGTGAGTTCTACCTTACCTTGCCCCTGCCAATGGACCTTGCCTATCTTTTGCCTATCACTTAATCACATAGCAAATTCAGCACCTTCTCAGTTGAAACGAGTTTTGTTCCACAACATATTTACTGAACATGTGTGTACTTTTACAAAATTCTCTGCTGCTGCTTTAAACGCTAAACTAGAAGAACTTTCACCTCATTACTGTGCATGACTACACAGTTGTTTTCCCCACCACAGAATATTATCACACATTATAGTTACACCAGATACTTTAATGATTCAGCATAGAGCAATTCATACCCATGTCATTTGAATCTCCATTTTAACTTCAGTAGCATCTCAAGAGTGATACTTTGTTCTACAAATAAGGACAGACTCATGCCTGCCTTGGAAGACATTGCTATTTACAATCCTTCCCTCCTAAACTAGCTAAGTTGTTTGCTTCATGAATAAGCATCATGATCCCTGCCATCTTACAACTTCCAAGCACAAGTCTTTACTTCTTCTGGAACTCAATACAAATCTCTTACTGGCAGATAAACAGCTTTTTCCCTGTTGATCTATTACTTTGTGCTCCGCCATTCATTCTTGCTGTAACTTTGCTCTATCTCTGAAATAGCCTTCAGTGCTGCAGTAGCTAACAGTGAGAATACCATCACCAGTGTTCCCACTACCCTCAGTACTTTAAACCATCTAGGATAAGTAGGAAGAAGGGAAACGTCATAATGCAGTGCTATCCCCAAGGCCATTACTAGCATTACTGCAGCTGGGGTGACATCTTTAAAGAGCAAGGCTTGACAGGCAAGTAGAGGAGGAATGGTACTGTTAGCCAGGTTCAGCCAGTCTGGCTTGGCCGGGCTGTTTTCTGGGAGAGCAAACCCCCACCTCATCCCTCCTACGAAAGATACTGTCACAGCACCATACATTATGTGAGCAAATGCCAGCTCTGGGTAGTAGGTCCCTTGGATGGCCATTGACAGCGGTATAGAAACAAAAGGGATCAGCCCTCCAAGGCTTAAGTAGAGGGCTGGCTTGGGAGAATCCTTTAGTGATTCCATGCTTCGTTTCAAGACACCGGAGGCTTTGGTCTCAGATTCCTTGGGGGTTTTCCTCTTGAAGAATGGGAGAGAGGTGTGAAGACCCTGAAGCTTGGTTGCATATACCGATGCTACGCTGAGGTGTGGAGATCTTGAGAGAGGACACACATCTCTCTGCAGCCAGAGGCCAAGGGAAGAGCAAGTTGTCTTATTCTTTCCATAAAGCAGTGGCCTGGGAGCAGTTAACTTCTGGAGCTGCAAGTATAAAACTCATTCTTAACATCTTACAATGTAGTCTTATGGATCTACACATACCTACGCTACCTACAAAATAATGTACCAAGCAGTTTTCCAAGTCAGGTCCCGTAACAGCTGCCTATACTCTCAGTTTTGGGGCAGTTACTAATTATGGTCACTAATTATGCTGATACATCTTTCACAAGCTAGCTGATGAAGAGCAATTAGGCTCTTCATAGTAAGCAAACCTTACTCACTACAAGAGGTTTGTGTATCCACCTATACTCCCACCCACACATGCATTCTTTAACCATTTTTATGTTATATTCTACTCTAAAAAGGAATGCTATAAAATGATTACAGAAGTAGGATAAGGTCACCCCAGAAACTAGTTACTATCTCCTTGCTATTCTACTGGAAAGAGAGAGGAAAAAGACCTTTAAACTATAAAATCTTAGTTTTGGCTCAGAGCTGCTGCACAAACTAGGAAATCTCTCAGAAAGGCTCAGTGATAAATCAACATGGGGCTACTCCAATTTATAATTCACTTTGTTTTTTCCCAGTGTTCTGGTCATACTTTTTGTCATTTTAATTAAAAACAACAACAACAACAACAAAAAAACAGAAAACAAAAAAAGGCCTCAGAAACTTACTTTGAAAGGTGTGTGGAAGCAGCATCTTTGTATGAGAGGAAACATGTTTGCTTTATCAAGACCCTAAAACAGAAAAATTCAGGACAGGTGGTCTGAAACTGATGAATAGCTGAGTTAGTCTTATGCCTCAAGTTAAGTCACTGTCTAGACTTGTTTATCAGATGCAAGACTCACAGATGCGTATTTGAAGATAAGCACTGTATGTGCTCAACCTTTATTTGTCCACTACAGGATATTTAGCTTCAGGTAGTTCTATAAACTAAAATCCTAAAGTTGGAATAACTGTTACGAGAAGAATTTCTAGTTCAAAATCTGGAAGCGGAGACGGCTCCCGTTTAGGATCCTCTCCTGACGGGGTAAATAACTGCGCGCAGCTGATAAACGGCCAATTCCTCCGGCGTGGGAAAAAACCCTATCCTTAACCACTAACGAGTGGAAGCTTCATCTCACCCCAGGCTGTGGGCGAGCTGCCTGCAGGGGGCTGCAGCACTAACCGGGAAAGGCGAGCAGCTCACTCGCGGACTTCACTTCCCGGTTCTCGGTGCTGCTGCTCGGCAGAAGCGAGCTGCAGCAGGCCGGGCACCGGCTGTGACCGCGGCGGCACCCACCGGCTCCCGGCAGCGGCCTCCACAGCCAGCGCTGCCCCTCGCCGTGGCTGCTTCCTCTGCCCCCGGAAGCGCTCTGGTAGGGCCCCGGTGCACAGCGGTGCGAGTCCGGGCAGGAACAGGCGAGGCTCGTATTGTTCCGTCGGACCGGGGAAATGGGCCGGGGACAGCAGAGGGCTCCTTCCACTGCCGCCGAACACCGAAGACTGCGACGGAATTGGCCGAGGAGCAAGAAGGGCCCCGGAGTAGCTACGGGGGTGGCGTGTGGGGGCGAGCCTGCTATTCAAGCTTCGGAACCCACGCAGAAAGGACTACAACTCCCAGCGTGCCCCGCGGCACTGCGACAGGCCGATCTTGGCGGCAGGTGGGGCGCACGGCCTTCTGGGACATGTAGTCTCCGGTGGCATCCGGCGGGCCGTGAGGCCCCGTGCGCGCTGCCTCTCTGAGCGGTGGGGCGGGGGTGGGGAGCGCTCCGCGTGGCCGCCGGGGAAGGCGGGGAGGAGGTGTGGGGGCGTGTCCCTTCCGCCTCCTCGGCCCCGCCCCGCGCGCGCGCAGGCCCCGCCCCCTCCGGCCCCCGGCCGGGCAGGGCCGGGCAGCCATTTTGGGCAGAGCTTTGTTATGGTTCTGGGGCCGCAGGAGGCAGCGAGAGGGGCCTGGCCGGTGAGTGCGGCTCCCACACCCCTCCTTCCGCCTCCCCGCCGCGCCTCCCCATCGGCAGCCACCCCGGGACCCTGCCTGTCACCTCCCGTCTGCTTTGCAGCTCCGGAACGGTCCGGGATCGGCCTCCCGCCAGGCCGGGACCCCGCTGGCGGTTGGCGGCGGGCGGTGCGGCCGCCCTGGGGGTGGGGGGGTGGGAGAGAAGGGGAATCCCTCCACTCTCGGCCCGGTGCGCTCCCATCCTCGCGTCCTTCTGTGGTCCCGTGGGGAACCCAGTCCCGAATGCGGCGGCGAGGGGCTCCCTGCGGGGCAGGGCCGCCGGGCCGGGGGAGGGCGGTTGGGGCCGAGGCTCCGTCGTTTATTGTTTCCTGCTTAGCCGGGAAGTTCGGAGCGCTGGACACGGCCTGGGCGCTGCCGCGGGCCTGCTGGCTCCCGCCCGGAGTTTAGCCTTGTCCTGTCATCGAGCTGGCCGGTCGGTGGGGGGGGAGGAGGAGGGGAGGTGGCGGAAGGACGGGCCGGAACGCCGCGTTTCGCCGGGGCTGCGGGGTGAAGTCCCCGGAGGGCGTTTGGGGGGGGGGGCGGTCAGGCCGGGGCTTCCTGCGCGGCGGCCCCGGGGCGGGCGGAGCGTTCGCGGGTGAGGCGCCGGGGCTGTTTTGATTGCGAGCTGGAAACGAAAGCGGAGGATCCGTGCTGGCTCGGGCCGTTTCCCTCCGGCTCTGCGGGGTTCACGGCCGCGCTTTCCGGCAGGCGCCGAGCGGTGACACGTGTGCTGCGGGCAGCCGAGCCCCTGCAGCCCCGCTCGGCCGGGGCCAGGGCAAACGGCGGCCGGGAAACTTGTCAGGCGCCCCTCATTATCTGTGCACAGCAAAGCAGCGCTTGGCGTGCGCGTGAGGTGGCTTTTTCTTTCGTCGTGAAAGTTATTTCTGTGTGTCCGGTGTGTTTTACGTCCTGTTGGCCTGCAGTTTTGCGTGCGGCTGTGGCTGGACTGGATCAGGACAGCTAGTTCACACCTAGCATTGCAAAGATGCGTTTAAGACTTTGAATTCACTTCGGTTTAGTAATAAGCTGTTTTGGAACGATTTTAGAGCGGCTAGTGGGCGTCTTCACAACTTACAAGTTTTTAAACAGCTTTAGAGGAACAGTCGCTATTTAAATCCTTGTAAGTAATGGAGGAATCGTGTAAGAGCATTGCTTAAAAATATGAAATGATTATTAACATGGCCAGGTAAGTCGGCCTTGCTTTCCCCGCCCCCGAGGTCGGAGTGACACGAGTGTTAGTAATATTGATATACTCTGAAACGTTGCAAGCAAATGAGTGGAGTATGAAAACAGCAAGAGGGTGGTATGGAGACAAGAAAACAGGTAATTGCGAAGACATCAAAGTTGAGTTTTCTGTGGAGTTGACGTTGCTTCTATAAAAATGTTAGGTGGTTACGAAAAAAGCTTATGGAAATGTTACTTTGTGAATGGATACGGCTGGTATTTCGGTGGAAAGGTTCCTCGTGCTCGTCCATGTGGAGACCTGTATTTTGAACTTCCAGTCTCTGATTTGGGAAGGAAATAGGTATAGAGCAGTAGCAGGAGGAAATAAAATCACCAGATTTAAGTGTGGGTTTTACTATGACATTTTTTCTGATCGTTTCTAAAGAAACGTACCTTAAGAAGAGCTTGTTTCAAGTTTTGTATTTTGAACAGTAAACTTTCAGGTGGTACTTCCCTCTTTGGGTTTGTTTTTTCCTTTGGGTTTGTGTTTGTTTTTTTTGCTTCTTATTTGTAGGGAAGTGCAGCCTCTGTGTTTTGTATTCATCTCTGGGTTGTAGTCTGAATCCTATATGACACAGAAGTTTCCATTGCAGATATACTAAGACTTAAAGTGAAAATATGCAAGGAACAGATGGCATTTAAAAAAAAAAGGTCCTGTTTTTTCTGCTGATGTCTCAGAAGTAGGATTAGCCGAATGCAGATGTGATATGTAACAAATCAAGTGAAAGTGCACACTTTGATTGTTAGGAAAAGTACTTTACTTTGAGAACGTTTTGTGGGGAATGTATACCTTGTCTCACATGTGGCTGCTTTGTCCATGGTGTCACTGCCTCTTGACATTGCTATTTTAAATTAGGAGATTAAGTCATGACGGAAAAATAATCTTTGCTAGCATTTTCATGAAATGCAAAAAAGTATTTCAAGAATTGTGGGCTACTTGTTTTTAATACAGAAAAATACTGCGGTTGGATCTGTGAATTTCTTCAGGAGTGTGGGTGTCAGATAACATAGTTCTTGGCTTTACCCAAGTGATCAAAAACTATTGGCTCAAGAATTAAAGTTGCTTTTAATTTGATTTCAGTGTTGCAAGATGTTTGAAGTTAGTTGTGTAGCTGCTGAATTGACATAGTTGTGAAGTACACTTCAGAGTGTGCTTTATTCATCTGTATGAACAGATTGGAAAAGGGCTGTGACTGTTCAGTAGAGCTAAAACATAAAGCACCTCTCTTCAGTAAAGTGCTGGCTGCTCTTGCCTGGATACAGCGTTTTCTTAGGGCTTTGTGAAAACACAGCCACAGGAGGACAGTTGCTGTAAGTTATCCAGGGAAAGGTCATATTTACTGAGTTTTGCAGTTGGTGGGGTAGTGTGTGTACTGGGAAGTTTGTTTGGGATTTTTAAGTTTATGTTAATGTATTTGTAGAGGCAGGAGGGGTTTAGATTTTCTTCTGCTACTTTTTTGTTCTAGCAGTCCAAGTAGACATTTTACTGCCACTTACATAGTGACCAGGATACGAAGTAAATCGTATGTGGCCTTTGTTTCAGTAAGTCATTGAAGTGTGTGTTCTCTTTACTTGTCAGATTTGATGAAAACCAGTGAAGTTGGCAGAAACGTGGTCCTGCTTAGAATACTTCATGAATGCAAGGATGTTGTTTAACTTGTGTACTGTAAGTTAATATGTTCCTGTGAAAATGTGCCAAACTTTAATGAGTTACTGTATGGTCATAAGATTAATTTACATTTTTGGGAGGGGATTTAGGAAGAGATTGATAGCGGCCAAGTATCTACCTCCCCATGCGTGTATGTACAAACACTCTGCAGACCTAAAATTCTAGGTTAGTGAAGGCCATTAGCATGACAATAAGTGGGAAGGGAAGCACATTGGTTAAATTAATCATACATATTAGTGATCAGGCTGTACCATTGCAAACTGGAATTTCTTGATTAAAATCTGCTCAACTATTGCAGCTCCTGCCTTCTTTAGCTGCCCTTCCAAAACATCAGAAGAAGAATTTTAACACTTCATGCTTTTCAGACCTTTCTGTATATAAAACAGCAGAAAGGCTTTACAAACTGTTGTTGTATGCAGTTCCGTGAAATGACTAAGCTGAAATAGTTCCACTTCCAAGGTCTGCCTTAACAAAAATCCTTTGAACCAGTGTATCCAAACAATATCTTGAGGTTTTCTGCAATAAATGATGCTCAGAAACAAATATTTTTGCAGAGTATGACCTTGTGCCTCAGGGACTGTTGTACACAAGAGAGTTCACTGGGAGCTACTGAAGTTTCAGGATTTACAGTCATTCTAGCAAAAATGCCAATGTCTTTTTTGTTTTCTTTTTCTGTTTTGTTTTTTCCTCTCCTTGAATTTTGTTATCACTTCAGTGTTTTCATAGTGTTACCTTCCACCCTGAAAGGAGTATCACAGCTTCATAGTGAGATGTTGGTGGCTGTTAATAAGCAAAAGTGGGGGAGGGTGGTGGTGCCGTATAATTTTGTCTAAATGCATGTCCCTGGTTTTAGGAACCCCCCCTTTTCCAACACAGGAAAAAATGTAGAATTTTAAATTCATTTCCTTTGGAGCACTTTTATTTCAGTGTCTGTTCTAGGTTCAGGTAAATGTAAGGGTGAATGGTGGTATGGCCAAGAATGACTGGCAGCAGGGATAGGGGTTTAGTGTGGCAGGGTCTGCTCTCCTGGGTATCTCTGTGACCCTCATAGCATAGTTGCAACATACAGAGCATGTGGCAATGATCATCACTCTCTTGGAATTTGTCATCATCAGTTTGTGACGAACAATTACCTTGTAAATAAAGGACTGAGTCTGCCATGGAGGTACATGGTATTATTCTGGGCGCATAAAGTATTAGTATTCACAAAGTTGCTGGTGGATTTGTACAGTGAAGATTCCTATAGGTCTCCGGCCTTTCAGCAGAAAGGAGTGTTTTGCCATTGTGTTCCAATGCGTCATCCATCGTTAAGGAATTAATCAGGATCCAACTGAGGTGGTCTAAAAAGACTTTTGATGCTAATCTTAAAAAACTCACCAAGGAAACTCTCTCACCCTGAAAATGTTATATGTGTTGCGAGCTTTTACTGTTAGTTTGGGCAAACTGTCTTTTCATTTACTTTGAACTCTAGTTAAAGTAGAGAAACAGGTTAATAATGACTTTAATGTCTTCAGGTTGGCTGGGGCTTATGGAATGTATCCTACAGTATTTAGGGAACTGACAGCCCGTGGGAGTAGGAAAAGTTCCAGAATACTGAAAAGAGTTGAGGAGTGCTTCCCCTCATAACATCCAGCAAAAGGCAGGACCTAGATATGTTCAAAGGAAGAGTGTTCACATCAGGGGGCCTGTCCTGGGTCATGTACTGTTCTGTGTTTTCACTTCTCTATGTTGAAATAACACTGAACACACAGATGATATGATCTTGACAAATTCAAGAAATGGCCTGAAATCAATAGCATTGATTTTAGCCATTTTGGTGTAGATGGGTTCAAATTACTGTGCTTAGGAATATTGCATTATGTGGACAAGTAACAGCTGGCTACGCAGCAGTTCTGTGGGAAGAGTATAGAGGGGTTGTAGTGGTTCCTAAATTGTCATGAGTCAGCAGCATCACTGTCATGAAGATTTCATTTGTCATACTGGAACGTATAAGAGCATTGTAAATAAGGTATAAAGCAGTTTAACCATTCTGCTGAGGAGTGTTAGGTCTTTACCTGAAAGCATCTTGTTCAGTTTGTGATGCCATCAGACTTTGGGAAACTTATGGCTGGATAACAAGATCTGTAAAGAAGATAGAACTAAGTCTGTAAAAGAAATAGTGAGGATGGGGGGGGGGAGGGAATCTTTAGCTCAGAAACAGCTTTATACAACTTGTATTTTCATCAGACATCAGCAGGTGATCTACAAAGCAGCTTAAAAAAGTTACCTGTGGGTATAACTGGGAGGCAGCTCTGACATCCTGTCACAGCCTGCAAGCTGTCATGCTTGGTAGGTGGGTCTCATCAGCTTTTTCATCCTCAGTGCTTTGAACTTAAAAGTTTGGAGCTTCAGCAGTAAGATTGGAGTGGTGGTGGTGGGTGTTTGGTTTGTTTTTTTTTAAATAGACTATATTTGATCCAAGAATATGACATTACGTACTGTTTCTGCTGCCAAATTGTGCTGGAATACAGGGTGGTCTAAGAGGCTTACCCCATGACCCCCTCCTGCTGACATTGCCTTTCAGGCAGCGAGTACTGAAGTACTGGTCTGGAGAAAAGATGTCTTAAAAGGTATCTGCAAAGAGAGGTTAGTCAGCTTGCCATATCTATCCTGAATAAAATAAGTTATGAGTTGAAACTGCAGAGTGTACTTAGGTTAGGCATTAGGTACAGGGACAGGCTTTCAAGCTGTAAGAATAACCAAAACAGATTGTAGAGATACGCTGGAGAGTGTGGTATGCTAATAATCTCTTTTGATTTACAGCTCCCCCAAAAATATTCCAGTGGAGGTATGAATAGCTGCATAATGAATTCCAGTCTGCTGATAACAAACTCATTTTTTCTGATACTTTTTGAGACATCTTTGCGTTTAATGTTTGGGCTCCTGCAGCCGAAGATCACTACAAATTGGTGGAGGAGGGCATTGTTTAGTTTGTTTTCAAAGAGATCTGATGGGTAAGGGTAGAGCTGAAGTGTTTTAAATCTCGGGAGAAGGAGATGAGCTATGCAACCTTGAAGATTTCACCCATAATGTTTTCCTAGTATTCCCTAGTTTATTGTAGGACATAGGATAGGAGGATGATGTTGTTTAACTCTTAGCCTGCACAGAATATTCTCTGTAAGATCTCTAAGAGTTTCACAGACAAGATCACAGAGGACGCTCCAGCAAAACACTATGAACATCCAATAAGAATATATATACCAGCTGCAGCAAGTCATCAGACCACAGGATTAGGATTGCTTATTCCCTTTTTATTTGGTTTTTAAGCCAAGACCAAACAAGTGGAATATTTATTATTTGTGCAGTTTATTTTGTGTTTATAGGACATGTTTAAAACTGAATTGTCTTGCGTGACTTTTCGGCACTGATGTTTGATAATGCTTTATCAGTTAAAGTAAGTGCTGAAAATGTTAAGCTAGTGGAATGAAAACATAGCAGACAGTGAAAACTTTGCAAAGTGTAACCCAGGTGTTGTACACATGTTGAAAAATGCTGAGTGAACATGTCTTTGTCGTGTCCTAGTCACAGACAAATAAATGTGGAGTTTGTTCATATTGTCCTGGTCTTGAGGTAAAATGGGTTGGAAATAATCCAAGTGGAGGGAGGGGCAGAGAGGGTATGCTCAGTCCCCCAGTCTTAGCCTGTTGTTTTGCATGGGAAGTACCTACAACTGGAATGTACTGCCCTTCCCAGTTTGGAGGACTGGTCTTGTAGGGCTGCAGTGGTGGTATCAAGGGGAAGAATTACTATAATACTGTTTAGGAGAATGGTCTCTTTATTGCTTAGTGTCTTTCTGTGTTGAGTTCGTTGACTGTCTTTGCAAGTGACAGGCCTTCTCTTATCCTTCATCTGGAATGCAGATCTGTACTTCCCTGTACTTGATTTATAGTCTCTTGCCTCAACACAAATATTTGATAAATAGTCTGGAGTATTTGATGCTCTTTTCCAAAGGAAATATGTTTTTCTCAGCTTCAAACAGAATAAATTTAAATGTAAATGTACTATAGTAGTGATAGTACCCCTTGTAAAATACTGGCTTATAAAATACCCTTAGTGGGAAACACCCATCCCATAGTTTGGGTTTTTTTTTTAAGGTACTGGAGAGCTACTTACTTCACTTCTCTTTAGGCTCTCCCTACACCTCTGGAAGACAGGTAGGCAGGAGGTATGTAGTATGCAGCAGGGATAAACCAGTAATTACATATTTGCAATTCTTTCCTTATGATGGGGAACATTATCCTGGCATACGTTACTGAGCAGAAGTGACTTGGTTCATTAATGCTTTGGGCAGACCATACAGATGTGTTCTTCATTGCTGTTTCACTCATTCTGTCCTGAGGTTTTGTGGTGATACTGGTACCTTTAAAGGCAGCCATGACGAGGTGTTGTGCTTTATTAGGTTCAGAGCAGAACAGCCTTAGCTTGACTTCAGATACTTTCAAAAGGTCTGTAGATCAAAGTGCATTACAAATTAGATGTTTGATTTTGTTCCCTTCAAGAGCTAAAAAGACCTTTGGATTTGATTAAAATTAGCAGAATACCATCTCCAGATTTAAAATACTTTATTTAATAAAATGCTAAAGCTGGTTGAAAGTTCAGAACATTGTTCACATTTAAAGCCTAATACTTTTTAAAATGTGTTTCTTTGTTTTGTATCAGTTATGTCAATAGATACACTTGTTTAATAGAGGTGTGTACGATCCCTGGAACCTTAGTCCCTGCAGTAGGCAGAGCAGTGAGCAGATTTTAATATTTCAGGTAAATACTGCAGTTCTCTAACATAAACAGTACTAAAGACTGTTACAGGGACATCAGAGGCAGGTGGAATTTTAAGTGGCATAGGAGAGAGGCATAAGGGATGACAGTATTGCCAGTGACTGTAGAGCATAAAATAGCCAGGAATAATTATTGGTAGGCATAATAGTTAGGAAGTCTGTGGTGTCCCCATTCTGTGCTTA